AAGTACGAATTGTTTTGGATTCTACGCACCAAAATTAATAAGAAAAAGTGTTTTCCCGAGAAATTTTGGTGCAGTCGATTTTTGCTATTCTGCTATTTCTGCTCCTCCTCGCCGTGGCCCTCCTTTCGCCACGCTCAGACTATATTCGTTAGAGACGGCGACTCCTCTCGCTTCCTCAAGATAGGTATATTTACGGGTGCGTATGAGCTCTACCTTTCGCAATTCCCCTGTTTGTCCAATCAACATGGTTAATTACCCCCCGTGGCTTTTGCGTCCCTCTATTCTATCTTTTCCACTAATTCAATTTTAGCCTTAATTCTAGGTATCAAGATTGAATTCTAGCACTGATCTTTACGCCCTTGTTGTCCTGTTGGTTGAAGATTCCTACACCGTCTTCTTGACCTCCTCACAATTTAATTAGATATTTGTGTCTTGATAAAGGCAATTTCCGCCTTGAGCTTCGAATATAAGTTTGAATTATGACTGGACCCGCCTCGCATTTCAAAGTTACGGGTTCTTTACTTAACGTACCTCTTTGCTACATTTTAGTAAATGGGGGTTTGAGGCGAAACAATCCTGTAAAGTAAATGATTAAACGACATTCGTTCGCAAAAACATACTTCGCATTGATAGGAAATATTCAACTTTATTTATAAATAACGTCACTGTATAATGAAGGACCGTCAGGTGCTAAAAGAAAATTAATTGAATTTTTTATATAAATAAAGCGAACTGCAATATACGTTAATCTTAATATGTTAAGAATTATTAGGTCATTGAATAAAAATTTTTTTATGAAAATCTCGAGCGCCACCAGGAGGTTTCAACCCTTGCTCCAGGTCAGGGCCGGCGGTTTCGGAACCCACGGGTATTTAGACGGAGAAACGGAAAACACCAGGGCTAATGGCGGCGGTCGCTGGCACATATCTAAATAGTTATTTATATAAAAGTCGGGAAAATGACCCATTACTGGCGAGCAATTATTGAAGTACGATGCCCCTTTGGGACAGAGTACTTTAATTTCCGAGTCAAGGAATGTCATTTCACGGACGAGTCTTGTGTTGAATTTTACCTGAAGTCCTATTTTAATACAAAATTTCAATTTTGATATATAACTTTTGATTAATGTCAATCTGTCAGTGAAGACAGGAATAATTATGTACATTTGGAAATGTCACAAATACGATCGGTAAAGTGACGGTGCGGCCTCTATCATGGAAACTAAAATTTCCTGACAGAAAGTAGGCATGAAAATGAAGGTTTCACGATGTTTTTGGGTAAACAAAATTACGGCACACGGCACGAAAAGCGAAACAAGGAAAAAAACCCCGCTTTATACTTGGAATGAAAATATCAAGCGCTTACCTTGACAATAAACAGTACGTTCAAATGTAAAAAATTACCAAAATGACTCGAAGCCAAAACGGAAAAAGATCCCTCTAAATCTAGCTGTTACCTTATATAGAATTCTCAAAAATAAATGGAACTCGGATTTGCCAGTCGGACGGCCTACTCGGGTTATAACGCCCAAAAATTAAAACTTCTTCCAGCTTACGAGCGTCCTAAAAATCTGGGACATATCTCAAAATGTATCTAACTAAGCGCACTCCAATGACACTAGGAATAATCTAATCAGACGAAGTTTGCTACAACACAATTAACTACGGTTAATTATACTCACTTAATTGGCCGGATTAAAATTTTCAAATTCGTTTACCCAGTAATGCCCATTGTTACATAGAATTTCGAGTCAATGGTAAAAGGTCTGTGATAATGAAATTACTTGCAGTTTTAATGCTCATTTTAAATTAACATTGGGAAATCGGCTAATACCTAATTAACGGCGCTGAAATCCTAAAATATTTCCTTTTCCTAAATTTTTTTCCTTGCTTCCCCATGCCGAGGGCTGTCGGATCCTACAAAAAATAATTTACGTATGTCTACGGGATCAATTAGAAACTTCACAATTATGTTCGGTTTTCCTTATGAGCGATTAAAACTCCACAAATTACTTTTACTCCTAGAAGCAATAAATAAATTGGTCCATTGGTACAATTTCTCGTTTGAGGTTTTCTAGGTAGCGGATGTTTAATGTAGCTGGTGGCTGCCATGAATGTGCGGTGCGTTTATTAATATAATTAATGTACGAAAACGGGTGCTTCATTACACTACCTGGAAGTAAACTTTTCAAATCAGAATAAATAAAATAAACATTAACAACACCGAGGTTGCGTGACACCTCAAGAAATCTAGTGACCGAAGATAGCTCCCTGCCTAGCTTCGTCTTGAAAAATCTCTGCTTTAAACTGGTAGAAAATAGTTAAACGCTGATTGGTAATAAATACTGTAACGGTAGCTCGCTTTGCAGTTTTAAATTATTAAAATTTTATTTAAATATACGAAAATTGGCATGTGCATCGCTTCATACGAAAGGTGGGCGTATTTAGAAAGTGTGGGCCGACCGGCATAACAGCCAAACTCGGCTTTTGCGTTGAATCCGAGTCGAGAAAACGGAACTATGGACTTTCTTTTGGCTTACATCATGGCATTTACTTTGGTTCCGTTTCGTTTTTTTACTGGGCGACTCTATATAAAAAATTAGAGATAGAAAGTGGAGAGTTCCAGCTTCTTCCATCGCAATAGGGTGCCAGTTCTCCATTCAATTTTACGATCGCTCAAAATCGATCGCGCGGTCTTAAGAGATATCGTCGCAAACAACAAGTAGTAGAGGAAATAAGTCGTGCCATTTTTTGTGATTGGTTGAATAAAGGTGCAAATATACAACTGTTATCATTGCAAGTGATTTAACGAATTGGTTACAAGGAAATAGTATATTATTCCATGAGCATGTAATGGTGGCTATTACTCATGAGAATGTGTTTGCGGCACGAGCCGAAGGCGAGTGCCGTAATTCTTTCGAATGAGTAATAGCCATTACATGCGAATAGAATACTATACTTTTTCTACGAATATTTGGCAAAATTTAATGAAAATATTCAAACTTGACGTTTGTTACCAAACCAATTGCAGTTGAGTTATTTTGGTAATGGTGGGGTAATTTAGAAATATTTAAAGTTGGTCATACTGTGACAGTGTGACAATTGAGATGATATCAGAGGTATCAAAAGGTTGTCAAGCTTTCGTTTCTCATTTCTTAAAATTTGATCGTTTAAATTGTGGGTTTATTGCTATATGTATGTAATTATAGCTAATCGCCTAAACATTAAATAATGCGGGTACTACCAAAACTACGACAAAATAACAGGCATGTGCGACTTACGAAGTAACAGAATTTGTACGAATACTTAACCTCACTTTGAACTCACTTTTTACACTTTGAAGATCCTTTTGTAAGTAGTAAGTAGTTGTCTTTTAGGTCGAGAAAATGGGAGTGAAATATTCATATTTATATTTAGCTTACTATAGATCGATCTAAGATATTTAGACTTTTCCGGCTATAAATTTAAACATAACTTTTTTGCCGTTTCTGTTATATTTGGCGGCGTACAACTTCATTATTTTCATTTTCGCTATCCATCTTGACACTTTCAAATTGGATGCGTCGGTAATACAGTGATCTTTTCCTTTGAGTTCAATTCAGCAACTTAATTTATATTAAAAACGGTCTAAATTAGCATGGGATGTTTTATTTAATTTAATATTGATTTTCAATTATACAATTTTGCATTCACATTTTTGTTTTTTGTGTTATTAAATCTAATTCTTAGATTTGGGCAAGTCCTATATTTCGATACAAAGGGAAGTTACAACCAGATAAATTGACAGATTGATTCTTTGTTTTTTATGAAACTTTCTCATTGGCTGGCTGCGGTGAGTTTTTTTAAAGCCATGCCCAGTGATTAATTATTACTCACTGCTGTTATCCAATAATGTGAGGAATTTATACTCTTACTTCATAAAATTGGAACGTTTAATGTATTCATTAACCCATATGAGTAGAAAAAAATCTATTTTTAAACCACGAGAGTGTAAAGTAGGCACATTCCCGTACGTTTGGTGACATCATTTGGAAGAAGTTGTACTATATACCAAACTCGGCTGTAATTGAACAAATAAAAACGATCAAATCTCAAAAATTAAACTGTATCACCCCAAAAGCGATCCAGTTTTCAACTTTTCTTGGAGGGAGCATTTTCAAGAGAGGCCCGAACAATTTGTAACCTAAAGATAAATACCGGCTCCAGCAATATCTGTAAATTACTTTAATTTTTTTTTATTGTTGATCAAGATTTATAGCCACTATGAAACTGTTGTCCCAGTCCCGATAGATGAAATGGGATTTTTAGGCTGCGTCTTTGCTTGTAATTCTTTGTGGCTGAAAATGTGACGTTGGTATCGAACGAATAAGCTTTTCTGTCAGTAGGACTGCTAATATAAGTTTCCTCTTCTCATTGTAAAAAATTTGTATCTCATATTTCCCCACTGTGTTTCAATCTCAAGTCTGATTGGAACCCAGACCAATATGTATTATTGCACGTCTAAATGTGTAGTTTAGTAAAAGGGGTTCGAGTTATTCCAAAGCAATTTTTAACATATTTACATTTTACCAATGACACGAAAATGCAGATAATCCTGATTATGGTCCTTCTGGAATGAATTGCCATTAATCTGTACAGAACATTCCCTCAAGAATTCGTCTTTTCAATGTCCCAACGTGCTTGCCTTCTATTGCGAATTCGAGACTTTAATTTAGTTGTGGCAAATTCTTTCGGTACATGTGCTAAAGATTCGAATTTCCATTTTATACCGTTCCGTGAGTTTAGTTTATTGCACATACTTTATGTGTAATGTAAGTGTAATGCTTTCAGAAACAGTTATACTAAACAACATGAATAATGAAAAGGTAGTCGGCTGTAAACATATAGCAAAGATACGCATCTTGTGTTGTTAATTCGCTCTACTGTAACCTACCTTAACTTGGGTGTTGGTGCCTATTCGATTGCAAAAATTTGAAGACTAAAATTAGTTTTTTTTTGTTATAGCTGCTCTTCATATCCAGAGTTTAGTATGGCGCCAAATTCAGAAGACAACGTGCCTCCGCCATTTCGATGGGACGATGACATTTACACAAAGGTAATCTTCAAGTTCAGGTTAACGGCTACTTTAAAGATCAATATTTAATATGTTAAAGGCAAATTTGCATTCTCAAGTATTTACTTATTTCATATTCGATTGGCAATTCAAAATTATGTGTAAGGGTCGATGACTTCTCCATGACTGGCATTAAATGTTGCAGGAGAAGCAGCGTCCGCCGATATATAATCCAGAAGACTACGCTTCTGGGGTGAGAAAGTGGGCCAGAAAAAATATAAACAGCGCAACGAATTTGTACGTGACCCCAAGCGTGCCCGAGCTGGACTGCGGAAATTTGCAAACCGTCGCGTCCAGGGACTATCGCAACCCGATGCTCACGTCTGCGGCCAGCGAGATGAGCTTACGCCAGTTCGGAACCGTTTCCGAGCTCCTTTCCAAATTGAAAGCGGACCTACGCCTCGCATATCCTAGGTAACCTTTGACAATCAACTCGCCTTGTTTCTATTATTTACAAAATAGTTGACATTTGTGTTAGTGTTTGTTAGTGCTTAACTAAAAACCAATTTTACTACCATTAATGGCATGCCTACCACCTTGCGTCACTTTTGAAACGCCAACGGTAACGCCGTGCCCAGGTGCAGCTCGTGCCGTGCCAATTATACCACCAGGTGTACCACCGTGTCAGGTCTGCCCGTACAATGTTTCGGTACCTCTCGTTCAGCCCGGGCAACCATCACTACCAAGCCCCCAAAAAAAGAAAAAATGCAAGTACATACAGCCATCAAGGCCGAAATCCTTCGCACCCATTCGAAAGTTTAATCCTCCCGATTTGTCAATGGAAGATGGAACCGTTTACCGTAAATCCTACGTTCCCTTTGAAAATGGCAGGGTAGAGCCTATAAGACCAACGAATAATTTGTGCGTAGGCGAAGGCGAGTTTACAAAAAATACGGTACACAACATGTCCTTCCAACCGCACAAGACGCTACCACCCTGTCCCATTCTTCCTTGCAACCACAAATTGTTGGGAGACGGGCCTATGCAGGACGTAACGACTAACAAGCACGATTACGTTCCAAAGTGCCAAAAACCCGTAGGAAAATTCTCCCCAAAGCCGAACCTGTTTTCGAGCGATTGTCCCCTAAGCGACAAGACCACAAATCGCCTCTCCTACATGCCCGTTGAAACGTCCAAGGCGCGTGTCTCCGCCATCCGTCCGATTCCGGCCTTGACAAAGGCGACGGGCGCGTTTGAAAAGAACACGGTACAGAAGATGTCGTACATGCCCTGGGAGTTACCGGAGAGGTTGGATATGCCCTGGGCTCAGAAAACCAAGTTCAGTCCTCCCACGTTGAGAATGTCGGGTGATACTGTGAATAAGCTCAGTTACGCTCCGCCCGGCAGTTACGTCGAGTGCGACGATAACGATCCTTCTTGTGTTGATTGCCCGGAAGATCCGTGTGATTTAGGACAGACGGCAATGGAGACGTGCTATTGTCCAAAAGCGTCTTGCTAATTGTCTAATTTGCTGTGGAAATTTTCGGTGACTTGTATACTACCGCTTTTGTCATATACTTAACATATACAAAATATTATAAAATTAGAACCAAATATACTATACAGCTCTACTGGTAGGTTCTCATATTCAAGCACCTTACTTACTTTCATCTACTCTAAAGAAAAGAAGTTCGCCTCCGAAAATTCGCCCCGGCAAATTCGCCCCTGAAAATTCGCCCCCAAGAAAACTCGCCCCAAGTAAATTCGCCCCCTGACTATTCGCCTCCGAAAGATTCGCCCCGGAAAATCCTCCCACAAGAAAACTCGCCCCCAAGTAAATTCGCCCCCGGACTATTCGCTTCCGTAAGATTCGCCCCAGAAAGATTAGCCCTGGAAAATTCGCCCCAGGCAAGTTCGCCCCCGACAAATTCGCTCCTGGAAGATTCGCCCCCGGCCATTCTGCTCCCGGGGGATTTGCCCCATAAGATTTATTAATCATCGGAAGTAACAGGGCCAGCAGTTCATAAAATGAATTTTGTTTCATTTTCATTTTTTTTGTAATAACTGTGTATACCTACATAAAAGGGGTAGCACTCAAATACCGGTTAACTAAAATATGAATAGGTAATTAAGATAAGGTTGAATAAATTAAGGGTGATTTGCAAAGGATTTGACATCCAAAGGATATTCACAATGACTTTGCAAAGGATTTGACATCCAAAGGAAATAAAATTCACAATGACTTAATGACTTCTATTATTTCAGACATGATATTGGAAAATCCCACGCATAAGCCGCAAGTGAAATTGTCACTTTGACAGCGGCAAAAGTTACCTGCAACCTTTTTTCCAGCGGACAAAATGCACTAAGTGGTTTTTTCAACTTATGTCATTTTCCGAACCAATTAATCGCATTAATCCTTTCCCCATATGACTTAGTTTGACGTCTGTCCAATAATTGATTAATATGGTGAAATTTCTTGTTCGTTATTGTCCTGCGAATTACACCTCGAGTTTGTATTTAAAAACCGAATAATTTGGGTTGTGGCAATTCAAATCTGTTTGCCTTTTAGCAATTGGACTCGAAACTGTCAACCTAGAAAATGCTCCACCTGCGGTTGTCGCATTTTTATTAGTTGACAGTTTTTCTCGTCTAATTGGCTAAGGCAACAGATTTTCATTACCCATAAACAACCCAAATTTAAACTCCGGTAAATACAAACCTCATTTGTGCAATTATAAGTGAAAAAGTGGAATTTGTTTCCAACAATAACTTTCTTTTCTGTGTATAAAATTTTTTGGGTTGAAATAACATTCCTTTAGATTACTTCTTGTTATGATATTTAAAGAATAAAAGTTTATGCTGCTCCACCCGAACATTACAAGGGTTGCGAGCACGTTATAACCATTAGTGGAGAATAGATTACAATATGGTATACAAAGAGTACCCATAATAAGAGATACAGCGCAATGGTATAAACGCGTGTTGGCTATAAGAACTCGCCCGCTAGGATTCCAAAAGCGGGCCCTCGCGTAGAGGTGGCCAGAACTAACCGCCTCTTTAAATATTGGCGCGTATTGAAAATTTACAGAATTCTTTATAGAATTTCGGTTTAAAATATTTGCGCGGTTGTCACATTTAATTTTCTTTCTTATTGGCTGTATAAAATGTGGACATGATATAATTAGAAAACATTACTTAAGTATAAAAGAAATCAGCAACGATTCAGTACCTATTGTTAATTACATTGGTATTTTCCTGTTTAGTTGGCGTCTATTGAATAGACAGTAATTACTATTTAATTTAATAACCAATAACAGGTACAATTGTAAAAATGTAAATTAAATTTGTTATTATCCATCCTTTTTAGATCGTCTACTACAGTCAAATTAAAGTAGACAACATATTTCATAAAATTGGATTTTATGATGAGCATAGCGATTATTTTACAGGAAATTTTGTTTGCTTTAATTTTGTATAGATGCCTACATACGCTGAGTTGTTTAATCATTAACAATCAATCATTACAATGCAATAATCCTTATGTCCTCAGAAAAAAAACATCAGTCTAATCCAATAATCAGTCAAAATATATAGTGCAGTTAAATAATAAATTAATAAATCTGCACCCGTCGAATAAATTTAATTAAATATTTACACGTTATTCTCATTTAAACAATTCAATTAAAAAAATACTCTCGACCCGCATTTTAAGCTGCAGCACTAGCGCGCATCGGTCTCCTAGCAACTAAGCGGCGTACACATGTTTTTCAATCACCATTGGCTAGTAGCGGAAAAAACACATCATAAGTATTTAAATTTGCCGCTCAACTTGAGCCACCGCGCACTCTGCTAGTGATTCATCCATCTAAACGATTGATAATGCAGTGTATGTTCTCATTTTTGAAAACAACATTGGCTTCCACTCCAAATATAGGGTTTCTGGAGCGTTTAAATATCTCCGGAATGCGTGGGTCGATCGGACTGAAATGTAATGAGATTAAAGGGGACATTAGTCACATCGACTGGTAAAAAATATGGTCCAAATCGGTCAAGTAGTTTTTCAGTTATCGCAAAGAAACCATTTTTAAAGAGGTGGGGTTGCGTCAGGGGTTGCGTTGGTCCACAGTTCACATTTTTAACTGATTTGAACCATTCGATCACAACTATAATCCAATTGAGGCAGTTTATTTTGGATTTATTATATTGTTTATAGTTTGGGCGGCAAAAATTAAAAAGTGATTGCAACATTTTTTCCGGGAATCTTTCATTATCTTATTATTTGTACAATAAATGCTATAAAACGTCTATTGGCCTTTTTTTTTTAAAAAAATGTTCGTTTATTTCCGCGCAAGTCGGAAGTAAATATCGTTCGAATCGTTACACTACTTCCTCTAACTAAACGATCTAGTTCGGTCGACTTTTCCATACGTCCGTCGACGGTAGGGCGACGAACAGTGTGTACAAAGGGCAGAGACGTAATCAAAGCGAGCTTATTACTCGCGCTTACTGGGAATACACAATACACACTAAAAAATCTATTATTTACCGCTCAAAAAACGGCTTATTGTTACACGAAGAACATATCTTCGCACCTATGAATCAAACCAACAAGCGTTCGGACCTTAATAAATTGTGCCATAAGCGTAGAATGGAATAACATATCTCTAAACATCATACATTTCAAGGAATAATAGATACCTAAATAAGTACAAGCAAACACTAAACATTTGGCAACGCTGGGATTTCTGCAATGATATTTATAAACTTCTAAACAAGTAGTTGCCTTGAAATAGCCCCTTAGGCGTAGCGTACGCCAATAAAATTGAGAAAAAGCAGTAAAATTTGTTAGGCAACACACAATACATATGCAACACTATTCTCTATGCCGTTGAATCTCTTATTATGGTTAACACTATTCTCTATGCCGTTGAATCTCTTATTATGGTTACTCTTTGGTATAACTCAACAATTTCGAGCGATTACCCCTGAAATCTTGCAACATGTACGGCAGCGTTTTGAAGCAAATCTTTATTATTGCATGGAAGCAGGCGGGAGGCAATTCGAGCATTTATTGAAATAAATGTTGTGTGTTTAAAGTTATTTGTTATTTTTTGCACAATTTAAACCTTGTATTAAAATTTAAAAACTTTAATACAAGGTGACTTAGATCGCATTTGTTTTAGTTTTTTTAGAAAAAACCATTTCAAATGCAAATATCTCCGAAACGAATCAATAGAATTTAAAAAGCAAAGCAGATTAGTAATCACGATTAAATTGGCTTTCAAATAATGTGCCATTTGCCATAGGATTCCATTTAAAATTTTAGGGGTTAAGCTCCCTACGTAGACGGGTGAAGACTTGGGTTCGTGATTTGTATTCCAAAAGTTGTCCCCCTCGAATACAAAATTGACGTGTTCAAGGATTTTTCGAAATTTCTAAATTTAATACCCTAAAAGCCCTCTGTATACTTCTTGTTGGGCCACTCTGTATAATGTTCCGACATTTGCATGAAACAAAAATTATTTACCTAATTCCTCTACTTTCGCCGTTATTTATTAAGAAAGAAGTTCTTTAAAAACTCCCATATAAAATATATGTCTTTCATTTTTATCGCACACTGATAAAAATTTGTTATCAAATTTAACTTCATTCACACGCTTAAACCTTTAGCAACCATCGGTCGTACAGAAGTAAATTTTTTTACCTCGAAACAAAGCTATTGAGGAAATCGCAAGGCAACTTTTGCACTTTTTTGTAAACTCCACCTTAACTCTTGTATTACAAAAGAAGGTAATATACTAATATATAATCTAATTTAAATGACATTTTTGATTGACTGAGTTGTTAGCTTCTTATTTCTTCCTAACAGAACGTTTGATGGCTCGTTTGGTCATTGGTGGTATATTTGTTTTGAAACTTTTTGTTTCTACTTGTTATATTTTGGCGCGAATACGAACTTTGATTTTTGGTTAACGATTTTATTCTACGATGTTTTTTTAACTTTCGGAACAATACTTGCCTTGAACACGGATTTTGTAACTTTGTTGATAAAGGACTCCATTTTTTGTTTGAGTGATTATTAATATATGATGAAAATTAATTGAGACTCAAAAATTGTTTATTTTCTAACGGCTATCGATTATGGATTTTGTGTTTGGTATAAACCTGTGTGGAAAAATAGTTTTGATAGTATTGAAGAAGATCGGTTTCACGTGGTGCTGGTACGTTTTAGTTAGATTTACTTAAAAAAACAAATTTTGTGCACGATTTTCTATGATTTTAAATATTACAATCCTAATAGACGAAGCGTTTATTTTATTGTAAATCAAACACCATATTTCACCTTTCGTAAATACAAAAATCTGAAAATCAAACTGACAACAGCAAAAAAGGAGCTCTTATGTCATTAGTAATAAAAACGTGTCTGTATTGTCATTTTTATACATGATAGTAGTACACAAAGTAGGTATATACTAAATTCATTGTCTTTTAAGGTCTAAATTTTTGGTAAATGGTCAACGTTCAACAATTTTTTGATCTCAAGTGGATACTTTGGAAATTTTAAAACTTTTATGGCATTTGCACATTTTTTACCAAAATTCTCAAATTTAAGGCTGATCCGACGGGCTGAATTTGGAACGAGTACCGTAGCAGACTAATTGCTACTTAACTAATAAATATATAAGCAAACTTTTTTTTATATTTTAAAGAAATGGGATGTTTCGAGTTAGATTTTTTTAAATTATTTTAATTATGATTTGATACTTCAGCAAACTTCATCAATGTTGGTGTTTTTCAACACAAATTTACATCAAATCTGGACCAATTTTCAATAAGTCTAAAGAAAGAATCATCCTTTGTTTATACATTGATGGCAAAAACATTTCAATACATCCATAAATGACTGAGTAATTAGACTTCTTTGTAAAAGCAATTTGTTGTAAAATACGTAACATACGGTTGACGTTGAACCGTTGAATCAGCCTTTTACAGGTGAAAGACGGTTGAATATGAACAATTTCGAGTTGTCAGTCTCGCCATATTGAGTTCCAAATATCGTCATTTTTGCAAATATTTATTTAATTAATTTAAACGAACCTATTACTTCCGAGGTTAATAAATGTTAATGTTAATATTCCGGGGGCGAATTTGTTGGGGGTGAATACTCCGGGGGCGAATTTACTTGGGGGCGAATATTCTGGGGGCGAATTTCCTTGGGGGCGAATATTCCGGGGGCGAATTTACTTGGGGACGAATATTCCGGGGCGAATTTTCGGGGGCGAATTTACCGCACACTAATGGGATGATAATAAATTTGTCTTTTAAATAATAAAGTTGTCTTTTCGTGAGCAACAATTTATCGAATTCGTTATTCAGAGGGCACCACAAGGTTAAATTTGAATACTTATTTACAACATTTTGAGAGGCCGTGACTGATAACGCGTGTGGGAGAGAGGAATGGGAAAAATAGTGGATTGATGGAGAGACTCTCATTTTCGAAAGTAATTTTTATATTAATTATTGTGTAATTGGCTCGTTTAAAACGGCCATTAAGTTTAAACCCTTATTTGATAAGGTAAGATTAATTGTTTGATTCCATTCTCTCACACGTCCATTTCAGGGTTTTCAATGTAAGGCGTTATTTTGAAATAAATAGTTGTTTATGCATCAAGGGCATTAAGGCGATATTTATGTCGAGAGCGACAGAGCCCGAGGGTCTCCGGCCCGAGGGATTGTAAGTCGCCCGAGGGTTAAATATTGAGTAATGCCTGAGGTGCATACAACATTTTATTTTTCATCGTTCCAAAGAATGCATTTCCAATATACAAATGTCATGAGTATTGTTTGCCTAACATTAAAGTGCTTCATACGAATCAAGTTGCATCTTTTTTATTACATAATATAACTCCGTCAATCAATTTGACAGGCCGTTTGAGGGCATAATGAGATGACAATCCATTATGCCCTCTCATTATGCCCTTGGGCGTAATAGACTGCTTTATATATCACATATGACAGATATAATTGGCAAATAATAAGCAAATAAAAAATGTCTATTAAGTAGACGTTGAAGTTAAAATAATTGAGAGCTTGTGTCAGAAAAGAACATCTGACATAAGTGCAATAAGTGCACCTGTGCACAAGCAAGGAAGCGAATTTGTGAAGGCAGAATCGCCATTTAAAAAAAATCGAAACAGTTTCCACCCTTTGTGCTATAGTGTAAATCGTCATTGTTTTTGAATTAACCACAAAATTAAACAAGTTAATCACAAATTCGCTTAACTGCTTCATGCTTGTGCACTTATGTCAGATGTTATTTCTGACACAAGCTCCCAATTATTTCAACTTCAACGCCTACTTAATAAACCTTTAAACCGGCTCTGCAAATCCATTTAAATCGAGTTTTCTCTGGAACTACTGGTCGGATTTGAAAAATAAAAACAGTTCTGAAAACATAATGAACATTCCTTTCGACCTATCGACAATTTACTACCCTTTCCCATTTAAAATTTTTGGGGTGCAATTCACCCCCTTCCCATGGTTAATGTTATGTAAGTAGTATTACTTAATTTAGGTGTCCCCCTCAAAACTAAAATTGACGTGTTCCGGCGTTTCTGGAAAAACTGTCGTTAAGTGGGCAAAATTGCCATTGACTGTTTTCAGTGAGCCACCCTGTATAATTATATACTATTAGGAAACTCATATTTTGAAGCAGTGACAATAAATTGTATATGGAAAAACCGTCGGTAAGTGGGCAAAATTGCCATTGAATGTTTTCAGCGGGCCACCCTGTATAACTCAAAACCACCAATCAAAACTCCCACCACAACTAACTGAAACCCATGGCACACGATCATCTAGTAAACAAACATGTCTAATGATAGCACCTATCTTGTGTTGTGAAACGAGTTGCTCAAGAATGGGAGGGTGAGGGTGTGTGTGTGTCGCTCTAAAGATCGCTCAGCATAAATAAAACACAAGAAATTGAGAGAGTGAAAATTAATTAAAACGTTAATTACAAAAACGATCAAATCGAAATTCAAATCAGAGTTGCCCCCTCTTAATTACACGAGAATAGCTCTAGGGACTTCATTGATAACAAGGAAGGAAAACTATTAAAAAGCTTCCAAGATATGTACTCACTTTCTTACTTCTTTTCCAATTCCAATTTTCAGTTCGTATGACAATTTAGGGGAATTTTATCTCCTTCATAATCGTGACTTTACACCGATATTTAAAGTATTGTGCCAATATCTATCACGGAAAAGAATATGTTTACTAAGACTGTTATGTAACGGAATCCGACATTTACACAAAGGGCTCATGGTACGAAGAATACACATAATATATCATTTTTGTTTGTTTCTGGTTAAGAGCTCAGGCGCCTGCATTATGACATAACCGTACAAAATATAGGGATATGTTCAAGGTGTGTGTTCGTGGTTTGAATTCAGGCACCCACCTTTGGCTAGGGCATAACCTGTCTCATTTGATATTAAGGGCGAAGATAATATTTGCATACAAAGTAGGGTTTCGAGACTCATCACATAACAGTATTCAAAGAACATAGACATTCAAAAGTCATGAAAAATAATCACATTTGGTACTTATGTGAAATAAGATGGTGGAAATTCAATAAGTGTATTACGCCCTTACATAAAACAAACAAAGCCCCCAGGCCCATCATACAAGCCGACAATAAACAAAAATCAACTTACTATAGCAAATAAAAAACTACCCCTAAGTGCGGCTATTTTCTCGACTGTTAACTTATTTTACGAACATTGCGCAATATTTTATAGGGTTTTCAAATTCAAATTTATGAAAGCAAACCCCCTAACAAATCGATAAGCTAATAATACAAAACAATTACCCTACGCTAATTACAGTAATTACAAAAGAAAAAGACTGCCATCGAAAGCTATCTACGTTCTGCCGCCGCAGCTCAAACTTCGCCACCTTCTTTTTCGCGCTTGGGGAACGCAAAACCATACTCTCTTTTACGCGCCACCAATAGCGAGGCTTTTAATTTGTGCAATTTGAATTATGCGCTTCCCGGTAAAACATCTCCAGTGGCGTAGCATGCGTTTTTCTTCCTTAATAAAATACATAAAAGCGGGAACGATATAATCTAAAAACTGTCAGATATGTTACACCGCACTCTCTATTGCTAAATCTCAGGTCCCATACATAATTTCAACAGCTGATTCTTGTAATATTGTTTAACAAGTTGTTGTTATAAAATTAACAATGCGATTAAATTATATAAATATGCGACACAAAGAGCTTATAAAAATCAAGTTTGTACATACATAGTTGACATTTGTGACAATTTTACCTTTTTGTCAGTTTTGGTATATCCACCTTTTTAATTGGATTCTTAAGACATGCCTCCTCAAAATGGATTAGACGGGTGTGGTGTCAAAACCTTAATCCGGAATCGATTAAATGGCACGAATACTAAACAAACTAAGCTATGCAATTGCCTTCCAAATTGCGCTAGATGCAAGTTGAAAAAAGACATCTCATCTACTTCGCCGCCAAAACTGGAATGTAAATATGTTCAACCGGAACGGCCCTTGTCGTTTAAACCAATTGGAACTTATTTGATACCAACAACGAAAATGTCGGACAAGTCTGTGTATCGTGACACGTTTCTTCCCGGGGAGCTGATAAAGTTAGAGCAAATTCGCCCGAAGACTAATCTGAATGTCGGGGAGGGGAAGATGTCAAACAACACCGTGCACAAATTGACTTACCAACAAGTAAGTGCGGAACCTTCAACGCCATTTTACCCGTGTAGACACAACTTACTGGGCTCAGGCCCTATGCAAACGGTTACAACACACATGCACGATTTCGTGCCAAAATCAACCGATAAAACTAAGTCTTGTACGCCAATACCCAAGCCCATATCCCAGACCGTACCGATAAGTGACAAAACCACTAATCGCCTGTCATACGTTCCGATGAATATTAAGGAGGCCAAAGCGGAAACTTGTCGACCGCCACACCCTCAAATTGCTTTTAAAGGGAAGGTGGATTGTAATACTGTCAACCGTCTCTCGTTTCTACCGTGGGAACTACCCGAACCTGATCCCAAACCGTGGGCGCAAAAAAAGTCGTTCGTGGCACCCGAGACCCGCATGTCGGACGACACGATATACCGAAAAAGCTTTCCGATTCCCCAACGCGAACCGCCTCCCCAGTCGTGCAAACCGATTAGCACATACACACCAGCACATACGAAAATGGAAGACTCGTCGGTGTACAGAAAATCTTTCACCGCGTGCGAAATGCAGAAAACCACCGGTTTTCGTCCCCAGCACAACATGAGCGTAGGCGAGGGGAAAATGTCCGGAGACACCATGAACAACCTCAGCTACGTAAAATACGACAAAGCGGCGCCGGCCCGCCCCTTCCTCCCTTGCCGAAAAAAGTACACCAGCGACGATCCCATGCAAGATTTTACCACCAGCAAAATCGACTACGTGGAAAAACCGATCGTTAGGGTGGAATCGTGTAAGCCTAAACCGATTGTGGTCGAATCCGACGTGCCCATCAGTGATATGACCACTAACAAGCTCTCCTTTGTACCTCACGATTTGAATCAAGTAAAAGTCAAACAAGTTCGGGTGGCTAACTCTATCGAAAAACCAACCGGTCCCTTTGCGCAGTACACCGTACAGAAATTGTCTTACGTTCCCACAGAACTGCCACCGCCCCCCGAAAAACCTTGGGCTGCCAAACCCATATATTCTAAGCCGGAGAAGAAGATGGAAGGAGACACTGTTAAATCGCTAAGTTATCAAATGCCAGGAAAGTACACGGAATGCGTTGTAGTGTCTCCTCTTTCTGCGGAACCGGAACCATGTTGCGACTGCTGCTGTACAAGGGATTAATCCTAAGTGTAATGTCTATTTATATGCTATTATCTGTAGGAACATTATATTTATTATTATACATACAGTGAACGTTTGCCTTCATTTGCGATTTTTTTTAGTTTCATACAAGAGTTTGTGTCTGATCCACACGATGGGGTAACCCTTCTTCTGGAACTGTTGCGAACAATACAGTTGAGCCAAGGGAATAACAACGGCAACAATACAACTGGGCGAATACCACCTTCCATACAAAGACGCGCCCTTCTAGACGAGTTAACCTGTCTGCAGTGCCTACTTTGTTGCTGCATTAGATACTCAGAGTCCATCCGTCGACTGACGGCTTCGTCAGCTGGACTCTTCACTTTAGCAGTTTGCATAATGACCAACGTCAATAAATCGAGAATTATTGCCTTACAGGTACGTGCATCTCGAACTCGACGTTTCGTTATCATGCTTTTTCCAGTTGCTCACCAAAGCGTGTGAACCGGCTGGTAATGGTCACGCAATTGTCTCGGAAGCAATGTCAACGCTTCGATTACGATTTGGCGAACCCGTCCGTTTTCGATTTTTAATCGGCATGTTAACATCGGCCGGAGGACAAGAGGAGCTTTTGGCTAACGGTTTCAAGTTCATAAACACATTTCTCGATACGGCCGGAAGTCCGCAAAAGCGCCTATACATTCAGGCGGAACTCGAACAGGCGGGGCTCGATATTGAAAATATAAGAAAGGTAATCTTAGGATGGTGAATGTTTCATTCTCATTTTAATTATAGATTACCTCCGTAAAATCTCCGTCGGCAGCGGCGGTGTATGAACAGCTCGATTATTGGTCCAAAAATCACATTGACATCGAAAGCTTATCTTCAAGGCTGAATCACATCGAGAAGCAAAACGACTTTTTAAAGGACAAAGTGCTACTTTTGGAAAGGCGAATTCAGGTTAGTATTGTTCATTTTCATCACCCACTAATATCCGCGTGCAGATCTTACAAGAAGAAAAAGGAGTACTGGTATCTCTAGAACAGTGCCTTAAGGAGCGATGCAGCGAACTTCAAACCGAGGTTCTCTCACTTAAGTCCGGAAAATCGCGGAGTTCCAAACTTTACGTAAAGAAAGGTGGACGCTCTTCCACCTCGCGGATTTCTGATCAAGTCTTTACAGATAATTCGACTCCTGCTGAAGATGAGGGTATTTCTTCTTCGGAGCGAAGTTTAAGTCCCGAAGATGTACAGTGCGAGAAATCAAGCTACGAAATATACGATAACAAGACTGAATTTGATCTTAAATTATTAGCCGACGAAGAGGAAACGACGATCGATGACGTGATCCAAGAACTGAAAAACATCGTGAACGACGCCGAAACTGAGGCGTATTCCCAAACAAGCAAGATACAGATGGATGTGCTGATGAACGATCCCATCTTCGATAGCGAATCTGAAATTGTTCCCGCAAATCTACAACCACAACCACCCAGGCGTACCAGAAGCTTAATTCACCTCTACATACCGACGGAAGACTACGATTACAACAGGGAGGTCTTTTTTGAGAATGAAACTCCGTACACCAGCGACGAAGGGTCCGATTCTCTACTAAGCGCGTCCAAATATCGCCTGCCGAGGATAGAAAAGGATCTCGCGCTTTATTACAGCAACGTGACGTCCACCAGGCAGCTCAAGAAAAGCGAATCCTTCCATCACAGAGTTAAAGAGGTGCGGACCTGTCGGCACAACAGCACCAGAATCACGAGGCAAGACTCGCAACAAAAGACAGTTCAGAAGAAATCGAAAAGCTTAGATCGTATAGACGACGGCCTCGACTCCATGGTGGACATCATCATGACCAATCAAAGCAAACTGGCTACAGACTTACGACCGCAAAGCGACTCGGGCAACTTAACCTCGAACTTATTCCTCAGCACAAGAAAAGACTTCAAAATCTCCAAACTACCCACGTACGCCGGAATGGAGAAGCAAAAAATGTTTCTACCGCCGGTCACCTACGAACACCTCGGCTATTTCCCGAGGCTACAAGACCGTAACTTTCACATTAAGAAGGGCCCCAGCAACGCCGGCTTGTATTCCGACTTCCACGTGCACTGCACGAGTTCCAATAATTCGAAAAAAAGTGATCTGTCCAATACGAAAGAGAGAACTCGGAGCATCCTCGGGAAACTTACCGACTTGCCGTCGGGGTTATATTGACTTTTCGCGTAATTAGAAATTCGTTTTAGGTTTATCAGTGCAATATGGCGACATTTTTTTTTTGTAAATAAAGTACAAAGTAGATTAATTTGAAGGATAAGTGTACAATTTATTTATTGGTTCTTTTATTTTAGTTCGTTTTATTTGAGATTATGTACTGATATAATATGTAGGTATTCAGTTTATTAAATATGTCTAACTTCTGTTCAGGGTTTACATTCAGTGGCGTAGCAAGGTTTGCCCCTCTATATTTTAAAAGCTGGTGAACATTTTGAGTTTCCTATCATTTATTTAAAAAAAAGAGATCAAATGTCTTAATTGGTTATGGATTTAAGTACTATATCAAAAAGCTTTCGTTTCATACCTATATGATCCATGTAGCAAATGAACAACAGACAAACAGACAGAAAACAGCGAATTTTTTCAATGTTTTTTGTAATACCCAACACTGTTTCTGAAGTGAACCTAGAAACGCAAGAATTTCAAAGACGATAATGATATTTTGATGCTTGAGAAACATTTCTTAAAAGATTAGAATATTGAGAACTGAAGTTTAAACTTTTGTATGCAGGTATACCAGAAGTCTCTTTGTCATGAATTTTCGTCTCAGTTTTTTCAGATAAAACATCTTCAAGTCCGTCGATCGTCATTGCTTACAAAAACAAAATTTAAATGTATTTTCACAAGATTTTTACCGTTTCCTACTGTCAGCTATTTTCAAAAGCGTCCAGGGGTATTATTGGCAGGTATGACGCTACCGCCCTTACTAAAGTTGCGCCCGGGGCGGACCGCCCCCTCTGCGCTACGACACTGTTTACATTATCCATTAAAGACTAATGTGGAAAAGTAAGTTTTCTACAATATTTTTGTAAGGATCTATGGTGAAAATTTTCTGATTTTTGAGTTCCCAAGCGCTCTACACAAGTGACACTGTTACAAAATAAATTATTATCAATGTGGGACTATAGAACATTTAGGTGATTGGGTTAATTTCATTAAAACTATTGACTCCGGTTAGTCATATTTTTAAAATAAATGACGCACCTAATTGTCGGACCTATTTCTAAAGATTAATTGCTCTAGAACTTTATGGCAAGCATCTAGAACCCATCAAAATTGAAACGTTTTGCGAGCAAGGGGCTAAGTTCACATTATTGGCAGTTGAATTTAAAAAAATGATCAAAGTCCTCGTGTGAGATCGAAGGGACTTCAGCGCATTTTTGTGTGGCAGATCAGTGTTTTATTAGCCAATATTGACTCCACCATCAATAAGATCTTGCCGAAAGCTACCACGTTCACTTTGTCGGTACCATTTTCTCACTTACCGTGCACTCGCAATTCGCGTTTGAAGTTTTGACTCCACCATCATTAAAATCCTTTGGGGGTTACCATATTCCCTTTGTCGACACCCACTTCTGATCACCCGCAACAATTCGGATTTGAAGTTTCGACTCCACCATCAGTAAGATCTCGTCGGGGGTTACCACATTCCCTTTGTCGATACACAGTTCCGACGTCCCGTTCATTCGTAATTCACATTTTGGTAGATTTCGCTAAAATCCCGGCATAAAATCGTATTCAACTTTTGGGTACTTCACATAGCTCGACCTTCTATTAGTGACACGAGAAAGAGAGACCGCGATTCGCGCTGTAAGAAACTTTTGGGCGCCCAAAGTCGACTACCCCTCGAAGCGCGCCGCGCAAAAGGTGGTTTATTTCGCCCCTAGGAAAAAAAAAACAAAATTCCGCCACGCAGGAGTTGTGCGCGTTGACAAGATCTTCCCGACGACACCAATTTGAAAACAATCGGAGAAAAACTGTAGAAGAAGATAGATAAAAACTGAAAAATCTCCAGGTTAGTATAATACGCTCGGGGATGGCGTCCAGATGTCGTCGACTCCAAATCTTGTAGCCCCATCCCTAACGTTCTTAATTACACGGCCCCGATAGTTACATGTACACTCTTTGTCTTTTTACAAGCGTTTTTCTACGGGCGCGCATTTACTGCCAGCCAGCCAGCCAAAGTGAGATTAAAAGCTACTTTTTACAAAAAAAATTTTTGCAAAAATGCGCTAAAGAAACTTAAGAGCATTAAGAGCGTGTTATTCTGCTTTCTTTTTAAAGTGCTCCTCGTATCATTTTATATGCCAGGTTTACATTATAAGATCTTTGATACTACTATTAAACAAGAAGAAGAATCGCATACGATTTTCAGTATGGGAATTTTTGACACTCAGCTCGTATTCGCAAACCAGACTTTTAATACGGCTCATATTCAATAGCACTGATCCTTGAACTCGTAGAAGTGGATTCAGGATTGGCGAAGGTTTGACATCGCTGTCTCTTTTCGTTCTCGAGTTAGACGAGGAATAGACGGACAAAACCATCACATAAGGGGAATTTTTAGTGCCCTTTCACTTTCAAAAAATAAAAAGTGCACTTTTGCGCTCTTGATGTCTGTCTGTCTGACTCACAAAGGATTCGGACATAAACCACCTACAGACTTGGTATTGGTGTCATTCGATCAGAAATTAAAAATTCTTTCATGTTTCTATGCCTAAAAGGGCTATTAAAATCGAAAAAATAAATTTGAAAGTATTCTCTGCGCCTCTTGCTCACAAGTGGCTTAACGAATTTTTTCAGGGCCGCCCAGAGGGAGGGGCAACTGGGGCGATTTGCCCCAGGCCCCAGATTTCAAAGGGTCCCCGTGTTGGCCGTGGATCTGTGAGGATGAATGAAACAGCAATAGAGTTGCCGTTGCCACATTTTCATTTGTACGGCCGATAATGCCAGTAAATTTCTAAAAGAACATTTTCTTTGACATTTTTTCTATTCCAAAACAGGGCCCCAAAATTTACTTTGTCCCAGGCCCCTGAAATTGTCTGGGCGGCTCTGAATTTTTTAAATGGTAGTTATTTGAAAATATCCCACCCGAAAACGAAAGCTTTTATACGCATTCATATACTATGCCAAAAAGAATTAGTTTATGATACGTTGCAAACTTGCATAAGGTCACTAGCACCCAAAGAATGACTAAATAATTCTTTGCTATCACAATCACACCATTTTAGAGGTAAGACAAGTTTCCGCACCTCACCTCTTGGCCTTAATGCACCCGCGATAAGTCATTTGTTGTTTTCGTGCCGAAGTGACCGCATCGTTTGTCTTTAGTTATCTTATCGGTGAGTTACAGGTACAAATATTAAAACCGCATTCCCTTTACAGATACTTTTTAATAATTTTAGGATGGGAAAAATGGAAGGATTAAAATGCGGAAGTGCCTCCGTATTCCCCAAAGGGCCCATCGCTGCTTTAATTCTGGAGGAGTATAGGTGCGATATGTTCCTGGTGTTTCCTTCAAAGTAGTTTTGATCGCGTTCTGCAAAACAGCAGGTATGAAATTTTTGGGAGGGAAAAAAGAAAGGAAATTAGGCATACAATCATCAATAAAATTATGTACCAGCACCCGTATTAAAAAAATCGTCTCTAACATAAGCTATCAGAAAAGAACCATTAAATCTGAACCTAAAACGTTTAAATAAGTATGTGATCCCTTCTCACTTTATTTATTTTTCACTATGGAAGAATTTTACTTGTTGAAGAGCATGGATCTAACCGCGGATGCTGGCTTATTTTCAGGGTACCATTTTTGAAAAATACTGCGCAATTTCTATAGTTATATGGTATTTTGGAAGTAATGAAAAGCACTGTATTTCGTGAATAGATTAATGTGGGGGCAAAGCGGAATTGATTAATTGATTACATTTGTAAATTAACTGACAGAATGTGTTTGCAACATTGACTTCGTTTATTATTAACTGTAATTTTATACAGGAAATGCGAAACTGCAAATAAAATGCAGTTTCTTTTCTTCTTTTCTTCAAACGAAATTCATATTATAATATTGACATTACGTAACTTAGCATTCTGAGTTAAAGTTTGACTTTTTAGAACAATGAAACAAGCGGCGTATTTGAATGCCTAGTACCTACCTACCACATTTTGCTTTTACAATTTGCTATTATTTATATTAGGTTCTTGGTTCACCTAGCAACTGCTTTGATATTTCTTCCGATTTTAACAGAAACAAAAATATAGTTGTTCAAAGAGCTTTTTATTTTAGTTTCATACAAAACATTACTAAGATTTTAATCCAGAATGGATACTCTTCTATAAATGTCCACAAAATAAAAGAAAAAATTCAAGAAAATTCAAATAACTCGAAGAATTTAAACAATGAAAAGAAAATTCCATTAATTCTTCCATATATAAAAGGCGTCACCGATATTATAGCTCCCAAATTTCCTAGATCTCTCGTTCAACCCATTTTTAAACCTTACTTCAAGCTACATCAATGACTAAGAACTCCTAAAGACAAAATGTAAAATGAAGAACATGGCGTCTACGAAATTTTTATGTACTCAATGCTCTAAATCATACATTGGACAAACTAATAGAATATTATACATACGAGCAAAAGAACACCATTTAGCAATTAAATAACATAATAAATCCTATGCTTTATGTGAACACTATTTAGACACAACACAGGACATTTTATTGACACCAACAAAATTAAATTAAATGCTCCAATACAACATTTAAAAGCTCGACTGATTAGAGAAGCTATTGAAATTCAAAAACGACCAAATTGCCTTAATAAACAAGTGGATATTTTACGACTTCTTCGCATTTGGAACAATATAATCAAGACTAAATCTAAACCCATTTTTAACATTCAAGATTCAAGTTCTCCTAACCTTTTCGACATCTACACTAGAACCAGTTTATACCCTTCAAAATTCAAATTCTGCAGATGAAGATTTAACAAGCTCAATTCCTAAATTAGATTCCATTTGGACCCTTCAAAATTCAAATTCTCCAGATGAAGATTCTCCCAGTTTGACATCTAAATTAACCTACCAAGGACCCATTACACGAAATCGTTCTAAATTTAATTAATTTATCATAAGATAGCGTATTTCATTTATACATTATTGTCAATCTAAACTTGAAAAAGGGGAAAGAGTGTTCCCCGAAACGTAGTTAGTTGCCTAATGGCCGTTTGCACCGACAAATTTAAGCGGAGCTTAGCTTAAGCGTAGCTTAAAATCCATGGCAACGATTATTGAGACAATGGTTGTCATGGATTTTAAGCTACGCCTAAATTTCTTGGTGCAAGCGGTCATTAGGGTCAATTGCA